CCAGATCTACAGTATCAAGAAGACTCAACGAGAATGGAATATTTGGTCATGTAGCAGTTAAAAAACCTTTACTTTGATCTCAAAATATTGTCAAGAGACTGAAATTTGCTAAAAAGTACAAAAACTGGACTTGATGATTGGAAAAGGGTATTATGGACAGATGAGTCCAAGTTTGAAATATATGGTTCAAAGCTAGGTTGTACATCTGGTGGAAGAAAGGTGAAAGATACCTCGATGCATAGCACCTACGATGAAGCATGGGAGAGGCAGTGTGGTGGTTTGGGGGTGTTTTTCTGCTGAGTCAACAGGAGATATTTGCAAAATAGATGGAATAATTGGCCAGCTCAAGTACCATCATTACTTATCCCTCCTGATATACCCAGTGGTTTGGGTATTATTGATAAAGGATTCTACTACCAAGAAGATAATGACCACAAACACTCATCCAACATATGCAGAAATTACTTACCTAAGAAAGAAGCTGCTGGAGTCATTCAAATGATGCAGTGGCCCCAGCAGAGCCCCGATCTCAACCCAATTGAGTGAATCTGGGATTTGGTAGATTAAAAACTTGACAAAATAAAAGTTACTTTCAAAGAAACTTTATGGGAGTGTATTAAGAGACATTTGGATTAAAATCCCAAAGGAAACTTTGATTAAGTATGTTGCAACAATGTCTGATAGGCTGTCTGCAGTTATCAAAGCAAAATGAGGATGCACAAAATATTAACTATTTGTTGAACTCAAGCACTTCCACTGAGTTTCGGTTGTACTAAATATGAAGATTAATAAAATGTTGATGTTTCACTTGTGATTTACCTTCCATTGTTCTTTGAAAGTAGCCTGAAATCTAATTTTTGACTTTGTTTTAACACTCTTGCACACTACTGTACATATTGTAGATAGTGAATTGATAAACAGCTATCAAGTCTAAATCATAAACAGATAGTAGCTTAAATATATAATTTTTTTCACTGTGTCTAGATTGTGTCTGCTCTCCAGTATTGTCATCAAAAGAAAATAATCCATAGAGATTTAAAAGTAAGTCTAGACAACTTTTCTGTAAAATTTGATGGCATGTATTTTGATTCTTACAAGTTTATAAGACAAATACTTCCTTTCAAACAAATTCCTTCTATATATTCTACATTATTTTGAATCTAAGTCAACACTAATGTTCTTTTTGTATCATTTGGTTTATTTCTTTATCAAAGAAGGGTGAAATTCAATTAGAAAGGTGCAAATAGCCCATTGTGTATCAGAGAAGCAGATGGCCCTAAAACAAACAGTTGGAAAGACCAATAGGGAAAATAATGTCATAAAATGCCTTCCATTTACTCAGTTTCTTACAAGTGTTTCAAATTTCTACTAACTTTAATCCTAAAGTACTTGTAACAGAGGAAAGGAAGATACAGATTTTTTTATGTAAATTGAGGTTATTGAAGTTAATCAATGTTATTTTTTAAGTACAGATAGGAAACATATTCAAGGCTTTTCTGTGGCTGATCTCGGCTGAAGAAATAGTAAAAATAATTGAGTGCTAAAGAAAATCCTTGAAAAGATGCAAGATGTTTGTTTGTATGAAAAATACAATTCTGCCAAATTACACTTATTTCTTAAAAGAACAGAAGATCCATCATTTATTGTCTACAGGGATTTCTTATGTGACAATAATCAATTAACTTAAAACTAATTATGACGCTTGTGTAAAATAAGTAGAACATGAGTATAGTTCTAGAGGGTTATATGTCATCAAGTGATGTGCAGATGATTTATGACTTTGTAGCTGTAAAATTTAGGTATTTTGACTTTGAATAATTAGTTTGCTGGAATGTGAATCTAAGGGCACATGGCTCATATCTCTTTGCTTCACTCTGTGGCTATGGTTGAATTATAAAAATGATAATTATATCTCAATATTTGATTAGAGTAACCCAAGAATTAATGGTGATATCCATTGTGTAGCTTTACACAAATAACTGAAACAAATCAAACCTTTATAAATATGTATGTAAGTGTTAGGCATCTAAAGTAACAAAGAATATGATTCAGCTTTATTTCACACAGAAACAGTGTATTTAACTGGTCAGGAGAAGATATAGTGTGTTACTGAAATCTTCTTTTTTTATGTTCCAAATTCTATGTGATAAAAATATATCATTATAAGGTTCTATACTGGTGGCTAATTTGCTCATTTTTGTCTTGATTTCTGAGAACTAGCCAGCATTATTTAAAAACTAATAAGATTTTTTGAATGTTTATTTATTTTGCTGTTATTTCCAATATTCTCACAGATATGATGTGAGTTATTGACTGTTCATTTTAGCTTTATCCATTTTTGTGAGAACATTCCACACAAATCTGAATTGAATTTCTAAGAAAATGTGTACATACTAAGTCAGTACCAAAGTCCAAAAAACAGTTATAGACATAAACTGTTCTAGAAAGGTGTGTGAAAGTACACAATTCAACTAAGGGAGAACCCTTCTCTTCCACCTAAAGAAAAGATGCATAAACTTAAACTATTATATACAAGAATTGTCGAAGCCAACTAAAAGAAAAACCTTAAAAGATTAGGTATGAACTATCAAGCAATAATATAGTAAAATAATGCGACTTCTAGACTAATAGACTGTGCAATAGTTGAGAGGTTGAGAAGAAGCATCATCTCTGTATGAAAATCTTGGTAAGCAAATTTTTGTATAATGTTTTTTTAATTGCTAAGTTATAATTGGTCTGTAAGTCGCACTTTTTAAGTGAAATAAAGTTGGTTCGTTTTTTTTTCTAAAGAAATTTATAAACAGGTCATGTTAAAGTATTTTAATTTTTACTGACATCTTCTGAAACAGGCTGAGAATCTACTTTTAGATAGTGAGATGAACATCAAAATTGCAGATTTTGGATTTAGCAACGAGTTTGCACCTGGTCATAAGTTGGACACTTTTTGTGGTAGTCCACCCTATGCTGCTCCTGAGCTTTTTCAAGGTAAGACACTTGGAATAATATATTAAACAACTTGTATAAATCAATATTATGAGAATTAAACAAAAATAAAACACGTTAAAGTACGTTTCTTCACCGTAAAGTTAAAACATACCTTCGTATATTTGTTTTACCTATGAACTTGGCATTTGTGTAAGAATATCTGTAAACATTTCCAAGTAAATTAAAGTGCTTTATTTGATTTAAAAATATAATATAAGCTTTTATGGTTTTGTTTGTGTATTATATATTTTGAAGTGTTGATAATTATTAAAGTACATTTTGATTATTCTTAAAAACAGAATAAAATATATTTACAATTAACAGTAAACAAAACTAACACAATTTGTCAAACTTACAAAAAAAAATAAAACATTAGATTACATTATTTTCAATCTTTTATGAATTTTAGTTCTTTAATTTTCTTTCCAACAAGGTACCTTACTTCTGCTCATATACATAGCTATTTTCATTCAGTGCTGCTTTCTATTTGCAACATTTTTTTCACATGCCATAAGCCTTTCACTCCCACGTACCCCTCATTTCACATGGTTTAACTGTTTCATGCATGCAAATTGTCATGCAACAAACTTCCACCAATAGACGAGCCCCACACATGAATGACTCCCTCCATGCTATCCTACCTACCTAACTGTCACTTCTCGTTTGGCAGTGCTTGTGTTTGGATGTTTTACTTAGTGTTCTCTTTGAATTTTCATATTGTTTATTTTCCAGTTTTCTACTTACTTTAAATAGTTTTTATTTGTACCTCATTTCATCATGCTATCATTTAATTTTCTATCCAGTTATGGAATGTTATTTTTCGGTGCTTTTCTTTCCTTACCAACATAGTTGTGCTTGGTTTTCATTTGCATTATGAATTCTGAAGTGCAAGTTACCACATCAGAGGTTGTACCTTCTACCAGCATGTTTATTTAGGCTTCAGGTGGGGGGAACTCGACTTTGGAATTATCGACAACAATTCATTCAGAGATTGATTGTTATTTGAACCAACCTTCTTCTCCTGATGTTGTCCAACTTCCTCCTGAACAAGCCAAACCTGTTCAGGCTGACAAAGCATCTGACAGCCTTTTTCCTCCACCTGAATTTGGTCAGCTACGTAGATAAAGGCAAATATGAGTTTTACAGCCTAATTATTAATAAAAAAACATCACCTTATAATCAGGCCAATCAATACAGAAAATTAAATCCTTCACTAATTTTGCTAAAAACACAATGGGCAAAACATAGTGTGATTAGAAATTATCAGTTTTATTGTGATATCACTCTTTTTGTTTTTTTTGTTGCGTTCTGTTCTGTTTGTCTCATAAGACCAATTAGAAGATTTGCATTGTACAGAACTTAAGCATCTTTCTGTATGAGAAATTACGAGCTGTCACAATGACTAGTTTGTACAAAAGAAAATAAGAACAGGTGCTTACATTTTAACCATCAGAGTGTTTTGTGGAATTTTCCATGTAACAAAATTTATTTTAAATGTGTTCATATACAAAAAGTTAAATTTTCATTTCAGTGGGTATTTTATTAAGAGCTCGCTGACATTTGAAAATGTTTTCACACAAATACATAGTATCTTTGTAGGAATACATTTTTATCAAGGTTCATTATTCATCACCATGACATGCTAAGAGAGAAAAAAAAGAAACAACTTATGTACATTTGGGACTGGGTGGTGCCTGTTTTCTTGACATTTATTAAGATAACCCTACTAAAAGTATAATTCATATAATTTTATTTCTTCCTTCTCTTTATTATTATTATTCATCCATGTACAAGTAAAGTTAAAACTGCTAACACCAGCTTTACCTTTATGTTTTAGGTAAGAAGTATGATGGTCCAGAAGTGGATGTGTGGAGCTTAGGAGTTATTCTATACACTTTAGTTAGTGGATCTTTACCTTTTGATGGAGCTAATCTTAAGGTGAGTGTTGAGCTGTATTAACTTATGTGCCTTTATACTATGTTTTTTACTAGTTTTACATGAAGAATTTTTACTAACAAAATATTTGACATTCTAATTTTGTTCAATAATCATTTACTCTTTAAATCTAAATCCATTCATGACAAACTTGAAATAACAGAGGAAGAATTGGGTTTGGGTTATTCCAGGCAGTATAAATACCTTGAGTTAACCACCTTTTTTCTACTCCTTATAAAAGGTTTTAAATAAGATATGAATAATTATGATAATCAAAGCTGTATAACTACCTGGACAGACTACCTTGCATCTACTCATTATAAGAGTGAAATATTAGATGGAGAACTGTGATACACTAGGTAGTGTAAATACCTGGAAAAACCACCTTGCCTCTGTTCCTTATAAGGGTTTGAAATAAGAGATTGGGAGTCAGGGTATAAATACCCAGGCAATCCACCTTCCTTCTACTACACATAGGGGTTTGAAATAAGAGATGGAGAATCAGGGTATAAATACCCAGGCAGTCCACCTTGCTTCTACTACACATAGGGGTTGGAAATAAGAGATGGAGAATCAGGGTATAAATACCCAGGCAATCCACCTTGCTTCTACTACACATAGGGGTTTGAAATAAGAGATGGTGAGTTGGGGTAATCTAGGCAGTATAAGTGCTGGGAGTAAGCCAGCTTGATTCTACTTCTTATAAAGATATGAAATAAGAGATGGCAAATCAGGATAGTTTAGTCAGTGCAAATAAATGGAGCAAACCATCCTGCTTCTACTCCTTATAAATATTTTACCTTTTATTTTAATGAGTATCCCATCTTGTTTTAGTAAGAAACATTATATTTTAGGATTTAATGCTTAATTTGTGTGCTGTGCTTAGTGTAAAGTTGGTATAGAGAATGTGATACCAAAGCAGTATTGTGTTAATATAATGAATGTGTTATTAAAACAATGTTGTGTTAACCCACTTGCTTTGGGCTTGGTGAATTACACTGACCTTGTGAACCCAAAGTGATCATCTTCACACTATAATTTTTAATATGTTTTATGTATCTTCACAAAATTTAGCCAGCTTTCAGTAAAAATTAGAAGTCTTTTGCACACAAAAAAAATCAAATTTTTAATTAAGTATTTTTACTAAAAACTTGTCTGCTCCAAATGCAAAGTGACTTTCATGTTAAGATTAAAAATACTTTTCTTTACCTGAAAATGTTTGAGTGTCTTTTACATGATCTCTTAAACCTCCTAAATAAATATCAAACATTTTTTTGCAGTAAAATTTATACTTTATCTGTTTATATTTTTCTCTATTCTAACTCTGTACGCATTCGGTCAGTTTGAACTGACCTTGTAACCACCATAAAAAGCATAAAGTAAATCTAAATTACCCTTTTATTCTTTCTAGAATGACTGTTTCTCATAAATAGCTTAAATCTTGTAACAGTGTACATCTTTTCGTACATAAATTTTATTGTTTTATTGCCTTTGGGATCATGTATATCTAATAATCCCACCATACAAGTTGTAAATTACTTAGTGAACACATAACTTAAGTTACCATATTGAATTATATAATGCATCAGCTGCTTGTGAACATACTTCGTAAAGAGTTATGATTTTTTTCATTATCTTACCTTATCTAACTTAATAACTTTCCAATTTTGACATTTTAGTTACTTTTCCAATAATAAATATAGAATATACATGAAAAACAAGAAATATGGTACTTTCTTGTGTCTTCTTGTTTGTTTATTTCTGCCAACTGTCAATGAAAGTTAAGTCTACTTTTTTATACTAATGATATTAGTACACTAATTAGTTTTTATTTAATTAAATAATGCACCTAAGAATACAGAATAATAACACGAACAAAGCAAACAATGTCTTATAATTCTCATAATCAGTCTGGGTTTCTAATCATGCAGTAAAAGCCTTAAAAATCTAGCTAAGCTTGTCAATTTGAATACTGTGAGAGAAATTTTCAAACTGGAAATGAAATATACAATAGTCTGTACAGAAAACAAAGTAATATAATACATCATTTAAAAACTTTAAATTTCTATTGTTTATAAGTAATGTAGTATAAAGTGTTGGAGAGAGCTATTGCCAGTTTGTGAAAGAGAGAATATGATGGGTGGGTGTGGCAGGTAGGTCTGATTTCTAGTTTATGGCTCCATAAACAAATAAAATTGAAGGCTATAAAAATTGGTATAAGCTATCTGAAAATACGAAAGTATCTTCTGACATATTGATTACACGTTGTTGGCTATAATGAAGAAGTAAAAAGTGTAGTATGTACTGTAAGGCAAGAATGTGTAGAAAGATAAATATGAGGTATCATTGTGTTCAAGAACTTATTGTTTATGTATCTGTTCAACTCAATAACTTGACAGCTTTTCTTTAATTAATATTATAATATGTTGTTTTCTGGTTTCATTCTTACTCACCATAAGATCAAAGACTGAATTGCATGAAACTTGTACATGATTTGTTGCCCTCAATAGGAACTCAGAGAAAGAGTTCTTCGTGGGAAGTACAGGATACCTTTTTACATGTCAACTGACTGTGAAAATCTTTTGAAGAAATTTCTAGTTTTGAATCCAGCTAAGCGAGCAACATTAGAAGTAAGTCTCTCTGTTAATTAAACCTTTTTAAGTATACTGCCAACCATTTTGTAGAATTATTTCCTATCATCGTATATACATAACAAAGTAGTAGGTTCAGATTTAAGAGTGTCATATTTCTAAAACACTAAATTAATTATACTTATATTCAGTTAAATAAATTAATTCATTAATGAATACTTGTAATCTTAAAGTACTGTTTATACTAAAAATAATGTTAAGAATGTTTGTTTAAATTACTGTTTATACTAAAAATAATGTGTATAAAAATAATGTTAAGAATATTTAAATTACTATTTATACTAAAAATAATGTGTATAAAAGTAATGTTAAGAATATTTAAAGTATTGTTTATACTAAAAATAATGTGTATAAAAATAATGTTAAGAATATTTATATTAAACTCACACATATATGCGTTATTATAAAAAGTAATGTGGATTTAATAACTTGTGAAATATGAAGGAACAAATTCTTATAAACATTAAATAACAATTCATTTTAAAGAAGTATATTGTAAGAAGTTGAGAAAGAAATGTCTTATGTAATTAAAAGATTAAGATAATACTTTATTAAGTAAAGCAATTTTACTGTTTAGACCATAATGAAAGACAAATGGATGAACATAGGCTTTGATAATGATGAACTCAAGCCTTACACGGAACCAGTATTCCATATGAAAGATGGCAGAAAAATAGGTGAGTGTATAACTCAAGAAATATGCTAGGTAATTTGATTCAATTTTCAGTTTTAAAAGTAAATTAATTAACATGTTATTGTATCTTACATATTATTTTAAGTGGTAAGTCTGCTTTACAGACTGACTTGAATTTGTCATTGAATCCAAGTAACTAAAACCTTGAAAATATATTAGTATTAAATATAAGTATTTCAAAACGTTTCTTAGTATTAGGTAATTAACCCATTGACTGCTGATTTGTCATATAGGGTACGGTCTGCCCCCGGCAGTTGAATGTGAATGTGCCATATACGGTGTACAGCTTGCAAAAATTCCACCTGCATTTAGAGCAGCTGCAGTCAATGGGTTAATAATGTAAATATGAAATAGTGTTATTACAAAAGTTGCTTTTGAGGTTTGATGAAAGTGTCTAGAAAAATGTGAAAATAAAACTATTCGGGTTGCATATAAAATTTTAATTGTAATGCTGTATGTATTTAGCTGAAAAGCTAAGCAATTAGAGTATAAATGTTCTAAAAACATTTTGAAAATGTTTTTCCAAATACTAAGTAATGAATCTGTCTTACATAGTATAATTGTCTAAAACCCTAACCTTATAAAAATGAAATGATTTTATTTTGCAAAAATTATAAATATTTTTGAGTTGCGTGTTTCAAAATCCAAACAGAATATATTTTTAATTTTGTTCATATGAATATTTGAATAGATAAGTTAAGTGCAATTCAAGAGATTTGTAGTTGAAAGCTACAAGTTATTATAAAATCAAACAGGGCTAAGAATACCTTTTTTGATTAACTCTATCATTTAGAAATTTTTAAGTAACAACTGAAAACACTTCACCACTTTACTGTCACTTGTTTAATGTAAATGTTGCTTATTGTGACAGAAGAAGTTTAACATAAATGTACGTGGTTCTAAAGTTTTGATATTTGATGGAAAAATGAACTAAATATATTATATTTTGATCTGTAGCAGTGTTCCATTATGAATTGCAGTTAGCAGAGTATCTTATAACTTGTGGTTTTAGCCTGTAGTAATTTATTGTGTTTGCACTAACTACAGTATAATGAAACATTATATAAATGTCATGCTTTTGTCATCTTCAAGTTACCAACTTGAGATTCAACTGCTTTACAAAGCTTTTTTTTTTCTTTTTTAAAAAATATCAAACATATATCACAATTTAGAAACTTTTTTTTTCCAACTCTCAAGAAAGGAAATATTCAGGTTGGTTCATATATCATACTGAGAAATATTGAAATAGGAACTGATGTTTTATACTATATCAAATACTTATCAAGTAATTTGGAAAGATCTTACATACATTTAGTACAATAGTAAAGTGTAGCTATTTGCATGCAAGATGGGTATCTTTAAATGAATAAATAGTAATATTTTCTTAGAAGATATTGTTTTATTTTTGTGATATTTTCAAATCTTCCATTACCATTTCTAAATAAATAAATGGCTTTTTAGGTTAATATTTTTTAACTTCAAAACATTTCTGTTACCAATCATCTTTCAAATAATGTTTCAAATTTTATTAAAATTGAATTCATGTTGGATAAAAAAACGTTCAGTGAAATGAAGGTTGAGGGCAGACTTCCAAAATGTTTAAATCTAACACACCCTGATAAAAAATGTTCTTTTAGTGCCTTAAATTCTCAAGTTCATTTTTGGGTATTCTTATTATTTACAGAAATGTTACAGTCCTTGGGATACACAAAAGAGGAAGTTGAAGAATCTCTAAGAAATAAAAAATATGATGATATTATGGCTAATTATCTTTTACTTGGAAAGAAACCAACAGAGGTACTAAGCTTTTCTTGTACTTTTGTCACTTTAGGGTTTTCCTCTGTGTCACATAAACTACTTCCTATATGTAAGTATGGAAGTTAGTAATGACTTATTACAGTGAGATATACAATTCATAATTAAATTTACATCTCATAGTAAGTGCCAAACAACCAGAAAATAATTTAAGAATACATTTAATGAGTGTAATCAGTTGTATTTATGATCTAAGATTATTCTAAGGGGAAAGAATCATGTTAAGAACAGAATATGTTATTTAACATATGATTTTTAACCTGGTCTGAAGCATGGTTCTCAGATGACATCATTGCAAAACTTTTGTATGATGGAAACATGCTGAATACTTCAGGATGAACTTGTATTATTAGCAACAGCAAAATATTGGAAGAGTGTATAGTTTGTAAGTATTCTACAAAGATATGTTGTGCCTATCTATATACCTATCTGTAGCTGTTTTCCCTCTAGTCTGTTACTTCTAAATTAGGGACTTCTAGCACAGATTAGTCTTCGGGTAGCTTTGTGTGAAATTCAACAAACACATCCATGTACACATCTAACAAAGGAATAAACAAGTTTTAAGTAAAATAGCATAGTTGTAACATGAAACAGTTTCAAACATGTTCAGACATTTAACATTACGTCTTTCATTTAATACCTGTATTAATGTGTATTACTTTTAGTGGGTATTTAAAATTTCAAACAACATTATCATTTGTTTTGTGTTTATAAAATATTGCAACCCATTTACACTTTTTCTAGTTAATTCACTTAGTGTTTGATTATTACCCTGTTACCAGCTGGTAGCATGGGTAGAATATTTATTTTTATGAAATTCATTCTTGAAACATTACAAGGAAACATTTATTGCCAGTTCATTGTCACTTTACAGTTTAGATGATCCCTGCAAAAATCTTCTGTTCCACCAAAACACAAAAATTGTTTTGTACATAAAAGGTTGGATCTAGGTATTCAAAAATTCCATTTTGTTATCTTCAAAGTGTGGAATTGTAAAGGCATATTCCATTTCTATATGAAAAAACATATCTATATGATTTCTTGCATAACTGGTCTATGCTATATTCTTGATTATATAGACAGATGAAGCCATTTAAACTTTGTAAAGTTATTGATATCAAACAAAACTCGTACAATATCCAAAAAGATGGAAAGGAAAAATGTACATGTCCTTAGGTCATTGTTGAAGTACATCCCAATATCTCTCACAAAATATCATTAGTAAACAGCAGCATGCTAAGCTGAAACTGATGCTAATTAGAGTTAAGAAGTAGAAGAAATTTATGATTAAGTTATCTTCACTAGATGTTTTGAAATTTACTGAAAATATTTTATTTCCACCATATTTTTTTTTTAAATTTGAATGGGAAGTTGATTTCTACTTAACCAAATCAGAAGGAATGTTAACTATAATTCTGAATTTACTATGTTGCAAGTTTTTATGAAAATGGACAAGTTTGTTGTACATGATAAGGCAGATATATAAAGCATTTGTACTTAAGATATGTCTGTGAGTTGACAATGTCAGCCAGACATTGAAAAGTTGAAGTGCAAAGTGATGTTCATGTGAATACTAAAAATATTTTTGTCTATCATGCAGTTTGCATTTTCATAACGTTTATAACCACCAATATGCATATCTACAGTTTTTATTTCAGTATATCTGTAGGGTAAAATGAATAGTTGATAACTGACATCAAATACATAATAGCATGTTGAATGGACACTTTGTAAAAGGTCATGAACATAGGGATAGGCTAAATGTTTTATCATACAGTGTTTTAAAGAAAAGAAGTAATTTCAATTTGTATTGAACTCTATATTATAGTGACAGTTTTGTTTTTATACTTCAACCATATCTGATAAACCATAAATATTTCCAGGAAAGTGATAGAAAAAAGAACGTGTTTGATTGAAGTTGTTTGGTAAACAAATATTGTGCATAGAAAATTTAAGTACTGTCAGTGAAAAAGTGTTTTAAACAATATTCGCTTGTTTTTGTAAAAAAAAATTCAAGAAAACAGAATTTGGTAAATATAATTTAACATTTGCACTGCTGTTGTGTATTCTTACACATGCATTCTACAAATCAAAGAAAACTTTTCTCGTGTATATATATATAATCATATAAAAGTGCAATAGACCACTCTGTAGGTTTTTACATTTGTAACACCGAAGTTTTATTAATGTGTTCTTTAGTAATAATTAATGTTGGGCTAAAATAATTTATCAGTTTTATGTACCAGATTTGAAAGTACAAGAGCTTGGTCATTGAAATGATTGATTTTTTTGTTTTGTTATTAACTGATGTATATTATTAGTAACAATATGAGTAACAACTTATTCTGAACAACATTTTAAAGTAATTTATGAGAATTTAATTTATTTTTCAAGAATGGTAATAGTTTAGCCTCTGAAACCTTGTATATCATACTGCAAAAAGTGTTCTTGTTTTTATGAGATAAAAATGTATGGCTCACATAGTGAGATGTTGTTTTCTGTGTGTTTAATCTAGTTAATTTGTTGCCGTGATGGCTTTTTACTGTGTGATTTTCATTATTTTTCTTATACCTTTCTAAAATGCTTCAGTGGCTAAAATCATTGTCAAATATTAAACTCAGTAAGTAGATACCATGGACTACAATAAAAATCTATGTAGCTACAATGCTACAGTGTTTTTTCTATAAATGATTTATTTACTTAATGTACTTTAATAAATATTGTGTGAATGAGCAACAGTTAACTTTTATTTCATTCTCAAATTACAAGATTAATGGTGCTCAAAATTAGCAAAAAATATTATTGTTGAATACTAAGCAATAAACACTAAAGTTCCATTGTTGATTAACTCTCAACATGGGCTCAGTCAACTTGACCAATCATGTGACCTCTTTGTACTCATTCATAGATCTTATAGATTTGATACTATTAACTTTTAATATTGTGTGTGTATCTTCATGAAATCTGGCAGTCTTTCAGTAAACATTGTAAGTCTTTCACATACAAAGAAATTACATTTTTAGTGAGGTATTTTTAATATACTAAAATAGATTTGTCCTTGAGTATATTGAGTACTTGTTTTGAATAATTTGTGTGCAAAGTAATTTTCATGTTAAGATTAAAAATACTTTTCTTCATCTCAAAAATCTCAAATTTTATTTGTGTAATCTCTAAAACCTCCTAAATACATTTCAAATGTTTATTTTCAATAAAACATTTTATCTGTAATTTTCTTTACCTTAACTCGAAACAAGGTTGGTCAATTTGACTGACCTCGTAAGCACCAAAAAAAATCTAAATTACTCTCTTTTTCTTTCTAGAATGACTTCAAATCTAGCGTGAAACTACATTCATTTATTTTAAGTAGCTTCAAACTTGTAATAGTATATATCTATTTATAATAACATTTTCTTGTTTTATTGCCTTTAGAACCTTGTTTAATTACTATTTGTGCCACTATAAGTTGTAAATCACTTGGGGAACATGCAGCTCATATTACACTATCAAATTACATTACCCATGACCTGCTCATATGCGTGCTTGCCTCGTGAAATGTTTTTATTATATTATTGTTTATTTTACCTAATCTAACATATTTTTACATTTTAGTTTCTTTTATAATAGTAAATAAAGAATAAACATGAAAAACAAGAAATATAGTACATACCCAATTTTCTTTTTGTTTTTGCTGCCATTGTCTATGACACTTAACCCCACTTTTTGTATACTAATGGTAGTAATGCACTAAATAATTTTTATTTAATTAAATAATGCACCAAAGAGCATAGATTAATAAAATGCAAAAAGTAGACAATTTCTCCGAACTCTTAAAATGTTTCTGACTGTGTGACAAGAGCCGTTACAAATTCATCCAAGCTGGTCATTAACTTTCCCATCAGAATTAACCATGTATTAGAAGTGAAATTGATGTCTATCTGTTCAGAACACAATACTATACAATATGTCATTTGGTAGATGAAAACTGCACTTTCTATTTGTTGTAGGTAACATATAATTAAATGTGAAAGAGAACTAAAGAGCGGGTGTGACCAGTGGGTGTGGCATGAGGGGTCTGGCATGTAATCAAACAATATTGAAGGCTATAAAAATTATGGTTTGTTTGAGCAATGACGATTTTATAGTGAGTAATTTACATTGGATTTCATACTTTTTGGAGGGGTGATGGATAAAATAGAGAAGAGAAGATACCTAGAGAAAATATGTCGTTCTAGGAGAAATTCAGGATTTTTTCATGTGTTGTTTTATAGAATTAAGAACTTAAAACTTATATACTAATTGGTATAACATAAACAAAAAGTAGTTTAATAAAATTTTGAATGTGATACACAAAAATCTTATGTCAGGCACAGTAAAGGATATCCGTGACAATAGGATTAATTGATAAGTGACTTGATACCAAAAAGTATTTTACAATTTATTTGCAGAAAGAGATATGTAACACTAGATCAAATTCTAGTACTTCACTTCGAGCCCTTCGACCAGTAATGGAAGGTACAATTAGCAGTCAGTCCCCTTCTCATATCAAAGTTCAAAGAAGCATTTCTGCAACATCAAAACCACGTCGCTTTAGCCACAGTGGGGAACCAGGTTAGATGATAGATAGTTTATATCAGATTTGAGATTTAGTTAGGTTTAAATATGATTTTTACTGATATACTTGTTTTAGATTAAGAAAACAGACTTAATAAGAAAGAAATGAAGATAGTAGACATAGTAACTTATAATAGAACTTTGGCTGGATATTTTATAAAGTAAATACAACAGCTGAAGCATTATAGTAAAAAAAAAAGGAAAAACAAGTAAATATGAAGCTTGTTATTTTAAATTTTATTGCTTGACTTTGCTAGCATTATATAGTAAATACAATTATGCCATGAAATGTTTTTTGTATAGTTTTTAAAGTGCATTTTATGTTTTATCAGGACATCATAATGTTCCTACGAGTGGATCATCTACATATAAGCAAAAGAATACACTAGAAACATCACCTCCATTGCTTACAAATGGTGTTTCTCCAACAGTTAGAGAGAGTGTTTCATCTCCTTCACGAACTGTGAAAACTGCTCCTGGTGCTGTTAGAGCTATGGATAAAAGCAACTCTAAGTCAGGTAATGATGATTGTATGTTATATTATTAAACTCTTCATGTCTGGTAATTACATTGTGTAGCACACACCATGTAGTACTTCACAAGCAATGTTTTGTCACTCAAAATGCTACATTCAATTTAATGAAGCTTGGTACGCAGTTTTTAACTTTTGTAGACTGCTGTTAAAAAATCATAGTTTTTGAATTACATTTCATATCTCTTCTTTGTTTACATAGAATTCTGTTTTGAGTAAAATTTAATCCTTACATCACCTAATGTCACCACAGAGAGAAAGTTGTTCTTGAATTTCTTCTCTCGTCAAATGATTAATATATTGTTTAATAAAACTTTTTTACTCCATCATTGATGCTTAGTTTTCGTAGATGATCCCATAAAAATCTGTTATAAAGGATCAATTGATATCAATGTCAAATAAATCTCTGATCATTTCACTTCATCACATAACTTTCATCCTTGTAATATCTGTAATTTGTAACCACACACACACTGTGTGAACAAAGTTTGTTTCTGTGCACTATATTTAATGACTGTCTTTACTGATTGACAGGAGTGATAAAAGTTTGCAGTTTTTTGTTTAGTTTTAGTATTTTTCATAAATTCAATTACATAAAAAATCTTTATTGAATATATTTCAACTTTTGTTTTCCTTAATGTGTGAAAGCATGATTACAAGTTTATTTTCTATAAATTTTTCTTATTCAGTGGTGAAATTTTTTCTTGTGCAAAATGCACTCATTGGACATAAACCAATTAATTTTTTTAATCTTAAGTTAAAGCTAAAAACTTGAAACTTAATAAAGAATTCCTGCAAAGAAAACATTAGAAAAGCTAAAGAGAATTAAAATCATTCTTTTTAAGTACAGTTGAACTTTCTTATAACTGGGAGGTAGTCAGAACAATTTCATTTGTAAAACAAATTTTTTACCATCTGAATCATTAAAGATAACAGTTATGTTTTGTCTGGCTAAAATGTTGATAAATTACTGGTTAACTACAGGAAATTAGCCCATTAAAGCAAAAATAGCTCCTCAACTTTTTAATAGTGCAAAACTGATTAAACATTACTTTGAATAGAAACGTTTATGAAAAACAAGGTGAGGTACTCATCCTTTAACCATGTTATGAACTTTAAAAAAATGGGGTGGATGTTATGATAAATAACACAAAAAATCCTAACTTTCACACAATGTATTCATAACATAACATATTATTACAGCATTCATTATTACCTCACCCAAAGTTGTGTACAAGTTTTAAAAACTTGCTGTGTATATACTTAAAACATGGTATACACTGTGCGATGGTCAGGGAGACTTTGTAAAGTGAGTTAGCAGCCAAAGTATTGGCGGTAGGGTACTTTCTGTTATCTGCTTTTAACACCCAGCTCTTGATGTTATTCCACACTGTTTCACAGTATTTATTAATTAATTGATGGTCATTGGCCACAAGTGTGTTATGGGATGAAGTTGTCAAGTCATGGGTCAAAGTAGGAAGTGGGTATAACTCAAGAAACGGCTCTTCTTATCAGTGATGTGGTGACTGTTGTAGTATAAACTCCATCCACGATTTTTTTCATTGCATTCCTTCATAGGAAATGCTAGCACACTTGCTAAGATACATAAGACATAAGTGATGTGGTGACTGTTGTAGTATAAACTCCATCCACGATTTTTTTCATTGCATTCCTTCATAGGAAATGCTAGTACACTTGCTAAGATACATAAGACGTTTGTGTGCCCTCTCCCCTCACTGTGTACGTTGTGTTATAGAAAGTTTAATAGCTTTTTATTTATTTTATTTTTTTTTGTTTGCTATAAGAATGTGATGTGCCATTTATGAATGTAGTTAATGTTAACTTATGTTAAAGATAATAAATGCCCCCATTAACATGCCCCTTGTTCCAAACTATCATCCCACTAAGTTTGGTTGAGATTGACCCAGTGACCTAGGAGTAATTAGATAATGGAAAAACAGACAGACACACAGGTTTTTATATCTGAAAAAACAACACTTTCTAATTAAATGCTCCTGTTATGAGTGTTTTGTTCTTTAGGTTAAACATAATTCAGTATTACCCCAAGATAATATATAAAATTTATCTTGTAAACATAGTTTTGTGAAACATATCCTAAGAATATATTTATATGCTGGGACTTACATTGTTAAAATCTGGGGTGTGATTCCCACAGTGGACACAGTAGATAGCTCAATGTGACTTTGCTCTTAGACAAACAAACAAATATATACTATTTTTGGGGGGGAATGTATCCTACCATTTGTTTCTATTACTGAAGATCAGTAGCCTGTAAGACAGCTATTTTTTCATAAAAACAGGTTATTTTACCAATATTGGAAATTATTGTAAAATATTGTGCATATTCTTAAGGTACATGACAATGTACTAAGTATAGTATATTTATAGTTTAGTGATTCTGTTAGGTTACATATTGCCCTTAACAACTAAAGTATTCATACTCATTGACAGGCATTAACAATTACATGCATGATGATCTTAGACTTTTGTGAATAATCCAAGTTCTGTTTGACTGACTTAAACATGTTTGAAAAGAAAACATTTTTTGATTTGTAGCCTCACTGAACATAGTACTGTTCTTCCCTCACACATCATCGTGTGATAGCCTATATACATGCATTGACCACTTAAGTTTATACTTCCCACACTTATGCACTGTAAAGTTTAACTTATAATTAAGATAATTAACATTAATTTAGCTTAATAGCAATGAAGAATTCAATTGAAGGTGATTTTATTGAACTTTTAAAGCTGTCATTTTCACATGTAATTCTACTAAATTTCATCCTAATTTCAAGATTCGATGTGTGTGTGTGTGTGTGTGTGTGTGCTGAATGCTGATTATTATATAAAACTTTACTGTGATAAATGTATTTGAAATTTACCATAAATATGGCTTTCAAAAAGTATAAAATGTAGAATGTTTTTAGGACTGAAGTGTATGCTGTTAAGTTTAATTAGTACTAGTTTTTCCATTGCAGTCTATAATAGTAATTTGATTTTGTGGATCATAATAGCCATAAGATAAGTCAAATGTTATTGAAGTGTAGTCAATCGAAGTATTTTCTAAGTTAGTAAGAAAATGATTTTGAATCTTTCATTGATTAAAGTTTAATGTAAGCAGAATTGAAGTGTGTTTAGATATGTACAGTTGTGTATTAATACCATCTAAATATGTAACATTTAAAAGGATCTGATACATCAGTAACATTAAGCCCATCAAGAGAATGTGGATCTGTCAGAAAGACAGGAATGAGTGGAATTTCTGCAAATGTATCTGGCTTTGGAAAGACAATCAGCAGCATTCCACGAAGGAACACTTGTAATTATGACAGTAAAGGTGTACCAAATGAAAGAAGCCGAGTTGAAGCATCCGGAAGGTAAGATGTGAGAAAACAGAAGAGTGTTTACTCAAACATAATCTAATATTTTAAACTTCAGTGCTCAAATAAATTGGCACATTGGTGGAAATTACCCCAGTAAATTTGAACCTTGCACTTCTAGACTAGTAAAAGAGGGAAGGATTTTGTATTACTACAATTCTGAGACATCACTGGGATATAATGCTATATTTTCATGACAACACTTTGATCTGGTACTTACTTGTTGAGCTATCTGTTTGTGACTGTCTGGAAGAATGATGTATGACACCATGAACAACTCATTTAAGGTAATTCTGGCTGATGGAAGATAAACAAAAACTCAAGTTTAATGCTCAAACCTTCTTGTATTTAATTGTATGTTTTTTAAAATAATTCCATTTCACTTTGTTTAAATGAAAACTATTTTTCTATGATATTTTTATAAGATATATTTTAAATTTTTCAATTTAAATCTTAGCTAGAGGACATGTCATGTTAGTCTTAGTAAGATTGCAGTGAAGCATAAGGAAGATGGAAATTTGTTTTCTAGCTGGTAGACTGAATCAGTCGTTATGCTTACATTTTTGGATCAGTGTTAGCTATCATGCATATTGAGTTACTTTATACAAGTAAATTGATTTTTATATTAGTGCAATGCAGATAGCGTGACCGTAAACACAGGCCTACAACAAATTACAAAGTGTACAAGTCTTTAAAGAAACGTTAAGAAGGAAATAAACTAACTTGTTATTTTATTATGGACTAAATGTTGAATTATTTTCATAAGATGAAGGATTTAAAACAACCCATCAATGAAAGAACAATGTTATAACAATACAAACATTTTTTAATTTCTAAAGCTTTATGTTATTATACTTGGGATTTTACCCTAGATATGGGGTAGGTGGTAAAGTTTGTGTCTCTAGGAACAATCTAAATTTTGAGCCCTGAACCAAAAATTGATAAAACAACATTCTATCTGGATTGAGGTGTCTGTCTACTCGTAGGCTATGTATACACACAGATTTTAACTTATGAAGCTTTATATTGTCACTAGAGTACAGCCCATCAAAAATGACAGGGCAAGTACTACCACCCCCACCACATAGTATACCCTAACCTCACATTTCATAACTAACTGAAATAAGTTTTTCAAAATCAAGCTTGACCAGCAGATAGGCAGAAAAGTGCAGTCAACATCAGTAAATTCCTTTGTGAGCCAATCAAAATTAAGATACTTCAAAAAATGAATTCTGGCATATTTATGTTAAAAATCAGTTAGATTAACAACTTCTAATATATAGAAAAGCCAGTGCATTTTGGTAGCACCACATTCCAACAATGGCTTTTATGTCATATTGCTAAATGACAAAAGTATACCCTAAAATTGTTGTTAGTCTATGTATTGAAAGTATAAAATGAAATGTATAGACAGCAAAACTGGAAAAATATTTGTTAATTTCTTAATTTAGAGTCTCCATTTATTAAAGAGTTTTGTTTTTTATGAAAAACGTTACTGATATAACAGAAAAGAGCTTAATTCAGAAACAATTTAAGTTTAAAATGGAATCGATGTTTTTACTTTCATGATAAATTTTATGCACTTGACTCTAGGCTAGGTGATCTCACACTACTTATTTACTTTAACCTTATTTTACCAAC